AGTTTGAAATTACATTTTGTTGGATTTCCATGAGAAAGTGATATTCAAAGCAAGGGGCAATATCTTTTCCTTTACGTTTGGAGCAGAGATCTAAATTTTTTCCCTTCCCTTATTTTTTAAATTAAGCAAAACAAAAAGAGGAGACTCAAAACATTTAATTTACAGGTCAATGTAATGATTACTGGCAAAGTAAATTTAATTTGATTTGTTTGTTTTCTTGCAAATGGTATTAATGCTTGTGCTTCCATAATTCCTGCCTCCTCAGTCTTTTAGGAAATGTATTTAATACTGCAAAAAAAAGTATGTTTTGAAGCATTATACCTTTCTTTAAACAAAAATCACTTGCTTAAATAAAGAGAGCAAGAGATCATGCATTGTATACAAACTGGTCTGAGAAACATACAACCCAAACTCTTTTATATAATGCAACTATATTTCTTTCCTTGCAGTATGTAAGTATTATTGATAATTAAAAGACAATTTTCATCTCAAAAACTTAAAAAAATCTTAAATACAAGTTAACCAGACACCTGAATGTAAAAGAAGAGGCTTATAGACTGTTAAACTTCAATACTCTAAAATGTTTGACAGGTTTTATAAAGTTGACTTTTTAGTTTTTTACTCCATATTATTGCTACAGAAGTTAGTACAATATGCATACCCCTGAAACGCATAGTACTGTTTCCACTCCCTAGAGTAACCAGCATACCATATGATGATCTTTTTGTTAAAAGGATACTCATATTAAAAATGCTGATCTGTGTTGTCATTTCATTCAGGCGTCTGGTTAACTTGTATTTGAGATTCTTTAAGTTTAATTTGGTTTCCAATGTCTTTGAACAGTGTTTCTGAGGGGCGTGCAGGTAGGGCAAGGTAAGCGGGTAGCCTGCCTGGGGCTTCCCACAGCATCTGCGGGCTAGATTTGGTGGTTTGGAAGATCATATTTTGCCCAGGCCTGTCAGACTCTAAAGTGTCCTCATATAGCTATCATCGAGAGTGAGCTAGGTTGTTTGTACAAACATGTCTTGCATTTGAACAAAACTAATTATTCTACCATGGAAATGTATGCTGTATCACTACTTTTGGAATATGCTGCTTATCTCCAGTATAAAGTATACTAAAAATTATACAATACAGAGGACTCAGAGCAGTTTAACCATGAGAACAGCACTTAGCACCTGAAACTTATTTCACTTTCCGAAACATAAGAAGCCTTCAAAGTGTTCTGCGCGTAGATCGCCGGACAGCGCAGCTGGCGAGCAGGGCTCACTGCGGTTCGGCGAGCCCTGTTTCACAAAAGCCATGAATTTCTCATGTGAACTCTTAAAAACAACAGAAACTTTCAGAGTTTATAAAATCAACATAGATTGCATCATTCTCCATACAATTATTTATCTAGATTATACCACATTAAAAATGTGCATGAGACACTCATTAAAATCTAGTGGCATGAGTATAGTTTACTGGTAAATGTCATCTGCAAGAGATAATGCTCTATAATCTAGAGCCTGAAATGGGTATAAGAAACAAAAAAGAGTGTTTCAAACAAAGGAAACTTCAGAATGTATTGTTCCTATAAACAGATGTTAAATTACTTCACTGTATAACAGAATTTATAATCCTGAAGGTTTCTATGTGACAAGCAGCATCAGTTTATTATTTCAGTATAGTGCAATAGAGTTCTCATTTTACATGCAACGTATAATGAACTGGAGGCCAATTATAAAAAGACAAAGGTTTCTCACCAGAATCGCTATGCATACATAAAACTATTGATAAAGCTCTTAAAAATGAAGTCAAAACTTTCCAGACCAAACCACAGCGGATTAGAGTATTTTAAAAGTGAGCAAAATAAAATGCAACAAGGGATAAAATACAGGAAGACTAATTGTAAAGTGCTCCACAAGGGCAGATTCCTGGAACTACATGGAGACGCACTGACTTATGTGGTTTTATGCAGCAACAGGAGATCTTAAACGGAACTTCAACTGAGGCCTTAGTGTTAACACTAAGGATGTTAAGAAACAGTTAATTTACTAGTCAAGTAGATGATGAAATTTCCATCAACTACTCAGCAGGCACTTCCGCATTCCTCCTTTGAAATGTACAAGAGCCCCAATGCGGGCTCTTGTACATTTCAAAGGTGGAATGTGGAACTCTGCGAGCAGCCCGGGGCCAGCTTCAAAGTGGCAACACAGAATGGAGCCCGGGGTCAGCGGGGGACGCTTTAAAGGGGTAGTCCCCATAGCTGAGCTGGGGATCAGCTGTGCAAGCTGCCCTTCTTCTCTCAGCACACAGTCAATCCATGGAACTCCCTGCCAAAGGATGTGGTAAAGGCTATGACTTAACAAGGTTCAAAAAAGAGCAATACAGATTCATGGAGGTTAGGTCCATTAACGGCTATCAGCCAAGATGGGTAGGAATGGTGTACCTAGCTTCTGTTTCTTTGCAGGTGAGTGACAGGGGAGGAATCACATGAGGATTACCTGTTGTGTCCTCTCCCTCTGAGGCATATTGTATTGGCCACTGTCAGCAGGCAGGGTACTGAGCTGGATGGACCACTGGTCTGACACAGTATGGCTGTTCTTATGTTCTAATGCTGCAGAGGCGGCATTTCAAAGGGGCAGGAGCAACACGGCTGTGCTGGGCTGCCACTTTGAAGTACCCTCTCTTATCCACCCTTTTTGCTGCTTATCAGAGAGTTGACTAGTCCGTAACATTCCTAGTTAACACTTCAGACAGTGTTACTCTAGATATGAAGCAAGACTCCTCTCCTGCATGTTGCAGTTGGGCAATTACAACATAGGACCAGGGGCTGAAACAAAATATATTTGAATGTATTATTATTACATAATTATCTGGAGTTCATAAATATGTACAGGTAGGAGTCTATGGTGTGGACAAGGATGGCTGCAGGCCTGGGAGCGCAGCTGTGGCTAGGGAGTGCAGTCAGCGGCCGGGCTGGCAATGGGGCCAAGAGATGACCCAGTGTTTTGGACTGAGTTGGCAGCAGGGCCCAGGGCCAGGGAGTGCAGCCAACAGCTGGGACCAGGGCCGGAGGCAGGACTAGGGAGTGTGGCCAGTGGCTGGGACCAGTGGCAGGGCCAGGAGCGCTGCCGGATCCAGGGCCAGGAAGCAGGCCAGTAACTGGGGCCAATGCTGGGAATGTGGCTGGAGGAGAGCTCAGCAGCTGGGAGGCTAGTGGCTCCCAGGAAGATTCTGGAGACCGACAACAGGGAGCCAGGATTGACATCCCTGGTCTACCAAACGTGCTCATTCAGACGACGAGAATGCCAGACCAGACCACATGCACACACGTATATATGAATATTGAGTATATATGAAATGAACACACAGCACCTTGAAATACAGAACAGTTTGTGATCAAGCAATTTATAAAAAGGATCACATTAAATTTTTTTTAAAGTTTCTACTAATTAAGAAAATAAATGATTAAATTATTCTGCATTATAGCACAGTGAATTATAAAATTTGCTTCCATAAAAAAGTAGGGCTTTTTTTTCCAATTTCAAATGGCTCATTTTTCACTATTAGATGCTCAGAAATCAGCTCGTGAGGATGGTAAAAATGACCAGATTTAAATGCACCATTTCCCCCCCATAACTATGTATTCAGCCATCTTTTGAAATATTTAGCAAACAGCTGGTCCATCTCACGTCCAATATTGCTCCAATCATTTGCTGTGACAATTTTAATGACTATTAATTGCTGATACAGGGACATGCTGATAAGAGGATGACACATACTGCTCATCCTCTTATGTGGCTTCTGCACATTCCTGCAAACTTTTTACAGCAATTATTAAGGAGTTGTTTATATGTTGTCGCTGGAAAAATTATTTGAAACGAATACCACAGGCCAAAAAAAAATTTCTTATGAAAAAGGAGGAGCATTTTTTACTGGTCCTAAATTTTAGACCCCCCATTAAATAGAGAATGTCATTTGAAAGATACCCTATTCAGTTGTTCAACAAAACTTGTATCTGTCAAAGAAGGCATGATATCAATCTGCAGTTTTATTCATTTGCAGGTAACACCACCACATCCATTCAGAACTATGAGAAAATATATTTATTTTTAATTGTATCTTTCATTACTGCTGATTAGCAACGAAAAATTACTCCTTTGCACAGTATCTTTCTATATTTAATTCAGAAAGAAAATTATTTCATTAATATTAAACTGACTGCATTCTTTAATAATGAATGTCTTTTTGCCTTTCCCTCTTTTCTCATATAGGACAAAGCTACGCAGAATGACGTTTTTTATACAAGCCGCCCTCACTGTAAGTCCAAGGTATGTTTCAAAAAACTTGGACTTATAGTGAAACAACATAAGGTGGGGAATTTTTTCCCCGTGGCTGACTTCCATTTGTGCAAATCAGTTTTGGGTTTTTTTGCATGAGTGGGGCATGGGTGGACTTACAAAGCATTAGTTCCTACATGCATCAACAACGTTAATGAGGAATGGATGTCCATCGGGACCACTTATAGCGGGGACGTCCTGTATATGCATACACATACTTGATAGGGGAAAAACACCGAACATTTTTACCTAGTCACTAGGAGGTTGCATCCGCTGCTCAATACACTTGCCAACCCCTCTCTCTCTGGCGGCTTTTGCCGCCAGAGAGCATGATGACAGCATTCCCTCACCCAGCAGGAAAAACTTTTTTATATAAAGAGAGAGATTAGCCAAGTAACAAACCAGTACAGTTACTATTTATCCTCCATTATCAGGTCTGCAACAACTGAGGCCTGCAACAGTTATGAGTTAGTTTTGAGTTATCTAGCTAGCTTAATTAAGATGGACTACTGTTATATTGATTTCAATATAGTTCTATCCCCAATAACTTAAAAAGCTATTATAAAGTGCAATTTTGACCATCTTTATAGTGAGGAATTCCTGTTAAGTGCAACACAATTAACTCTTTTTCCCAACATGAATATACCAAAATACATCACATTCTAGGGTACTTACATCTGTGTCAGGCCCTTTGTCTGCACCAGGACATGAAAAGGTAACAAATTCATGGCACCTCTTGTGAACCACAAAACAGCAAACTAGTTTAAAAAAAAAAGGAAACAACAGTTAGATTTACTAAATCTTTACTACTGAAACAAATTTAGTTTTGCTGAAATCATTGCATGAAGGAAGGAACTTCAAAAGGTCAGGCTACTTTGGATTAAAAAGTAAGACTTCTCTATGATATTTACAAGTGTGTACACCTTTCTGGTTTCAGAGGGGTAGTCATGTTACTCTGTTTTAGCAGAAACAACAAAGAGTGGCACTTTAACAATTAGCAAATTTATTTGGACATAAGCTCTATAGCTTCCAGCTTTTAAACAAAGGAAAACCCAGCCACTTAATCAGGACAACTACTTTCCTGAGGGAGTTATGTTATTACATGACAATGTTTTTATGTTCTGCACCTTAGGTAAATACAAAATTACAAGGATATTACTGTTGTTTCAGTCTCATGAAAAATATGGTTCTCTTGTGTATGTACCTTGCACAACTAGCTGTATTACATCAGTCAGTGTGTTTTATCTGGTGACTCTTTGATTTAAGCATCACTGCATTGCATAAACACCCTGCTAGAATCATTTCAGACAGTGCAACTTGTAAGGAAATGCCTTTAAACCATCATTAATAGATTACACTGTATTTTACTGTCAGACTGAAAGTTCTTGATTAGATACAACCATTTAATAATTCAGAAAAATTACTGAGCTTATTTTTAACATTTAAACCATAAAAAAAGCTTCAAACAACTCTACCTCAAAAATGTTCTATGCTGTAACAGCTAAGGGAAATCCCAAAACAAACACAGCAGGGTCATAGCTCTATAAACATTCCACCCTATACAGTGAGTGAGAACAAGGCATGAGGGAAGAGGAAGAAGAGTGAATGCAAAGAATCCTAGAATCCTAAGGCTGGAAGAGACTTCGGGAGGTCATCGAGTCCAGCCCGCTGCCCAAAGCAGGACCAACCCCAACTAAATCATCCCAGCAAGGGCTGTGTCAAGCCAAGACTTAAAAACCTTTAGGGATGAAGATTCCACCACCTCCCTAGGTAACCCATTCCAGTACTTTACCACACTCCTAGTAAAATAGTTTTTCCTAATACCCAACCTACACCTCCCCCACTGTAACTTGAGACCATTGCTCCTTGTTCTGCCACCTGTCACCACTGAGAACAGCCTCTCTCCATCCTCTTTGGAACTGCCCTCCAGGAAGTTGAAGGCTGGTATCAAATCCCCGCCTCACACTTCTCTTCTGCAGACTAAATACACCCAAATCCCTCAGCCTCTCTTCGTAGCTCAAGTGCTCCAGCCCCCTAATCATTTTGGTTGCCCTTTGCTGGATCCTCTCCAATGCGCCCACACCCTTTCTGTAGTGGGGGCCCAGAATTGGACACAGTACTCCAGATGTATCTTCTCTAGTGTGGAATCAAGGGGAAATTCACAGATTTCAAGGCCAGAATGGTCAATAGTGAATAGTGCACAACACAATCCATAGAGTTTTACTCATGAATTATTTTTCGCTACTATGTAAATGGACAGTATCAAGCCAAACAACTTATTTCAAGATCCGTACGTTGGGGCAGACCAAAATACAAACATTTATCCTGTGAAGATGGTGCCATAAACAACTATATAAAGTTTTTGCTCATTTAAAAACATGGTAGGAGCATCACTTTTAATATTTTAATGGTTACAATGAAAAAAGCCTCATTGCTGTGATTAACTTTTGTTAAACCTAATGATCATTTTTCAGAAGTTTAAAGTAGCTTTGACTAAGTGTGCAGTTGGACTGAAACTCCTATTAATGTGGATTGGCATGTAAAACCTGACTGGAAAACTGAACATAAGAATGTAAGAAGAACCTAAGAACAGCCATGCTGAGTTAGATCAAAGGTCCATCTAGCCTAGTATTCTGTCTTCCAACAGTGGCCAATGTCGGGTATCGCAAGGGGAATGAATAAAACAGTGATCCCTTCCCTGTCACCCATTCCCAACTTCTGACGAACAGGCTAGGGATACCATATTCACTCATCCTTGCTAACAGTTATCGATGGAGCTGCCAGTAGACCAGGGGGACGGGGAGCAAAGCAGAGCAAAGCCGCGGAGCACGTGGGCAGCGGACAGCCCAGACGCGTCTGGGCTGTCCACTGCCCACGTGTTCCGCCGCTTTGCTTCCTCTCTCTGGTCTCCTGGAGACCAGGGAGAGGGAGGGCCCCGTTCGTAACTGCAGATCCGACACAAGTCGGATCCGCGTAACTCGGGGACTGCTTGTACTCATGTGTTTAAGGAGATGTGTATCTGAAACAGGGAAAAGGATTTATTTCCTCTTTGCAGAACCTTTCTTTATCTACAACAGTGAATTTTGGTGCCTTTAAGATGCGACGCGAACTGTCCAACATGGAGCATGGACTTTGTCCCTCCCCTAAGTTTTACCCCACAACGGTGCACCAGCTTAAGTGACCAATGCCACTTATTAATCAATTCTGAAGCAAGATATGTTAAGCTGAGTTATAGTTGTAAATTTCCATTTCTTACAAAGGACATCTATAACATCTCTGTAGTGATCTCAAAAAGCCATAAATATTAAACACATCAGGAGTTATTACACACTTTATTATTTAGGTTAGATGTTGTATAAACTGTCAACACCAGTAATGAGAATAGCATATTAGATCATCAATCCTCTTTGCTGTTTGAAAAGACAGTGTACCCAACTACAAAATTAAAATCTCAGTATGTAACTTTTCATCAGAACAAATTTCACAACAGCTATTCTATGCTATCAGATACGCATGAACAAACAGTAAATTACTTTTCTCACACATTCAAAAGTTGTCAACATCATACAGCAGGGTTAGTAAAAATTACAGAAGTAATCTGATACAGAGAACTATGTTGTCTATCAGAAGTAGAATCTCTCTTGGCTATCTGCAGCTGCATGTTCAATAAGGTTTGTAACCATATTCCTATAAAAACCCTTTATGTTTCAACACAGGCAATCAAGTGCAGTGCCTAAATACATATCATAACCACCATCAAAATGTAAGCAAAATTCTATATGATCAGATAAAGTAACATACAAAGAGCTAATCGCCTTGTCTACCGTATGAAAACAAATAACCAGTTACAAAATGATACGGTACCAAATCAATGTACCCTGTATTTCATTACAGCTCAGAGAATGGTTATGATCGGTATCTTAGGACAGCACAGAATGTAGTACAGTAAATGTATTGTAGTGACAAAAGAGACCATGTTATGATACTATACCGCAGCAGTGAAAAGAGGCATTACTAGGTAGCTACAACTGTTTTCAGTGAAGAATCAGCCACAGTACCCACAAAATACCATGCAATATTTGGCATCAAACATATGAGCCTTATATAAAACCAATGTCTATTACAGGCATGGAAGTAAAACACCAATATAGTAATTAGAAATAGAGGCCATATGGTGCAAATAACCCAGGCTTACCTCTCTATTTTACCATACCACTGCCCACCAGTTCACCACATACCTAATTCTTTAACATTAAAACAATGTGCATTTCTGCCCTACACTGGGCTTGTTGATGTTGCAGAACAGATGCTGTGCCCAGTACCCCTCTTTAGAAACTTCTGTTACTGTGTAAGACTTCCATTTTTATACGTGTATTGCTATTTATCTTACTATATGTTTCAGAACTGTGCATGTGTCTGTCTGTTCAAGAACCTCCCCCACCCCAAAAGGTAAGAGTTAGGACCACCAAATTTGGTATGCAGATTCCTCTTATCATAATGTAAACCAAGGTCTGAGTTTGGCTGCGCCAGGACAATGGGATGTGTGTGGAATAGGGATGTTAAAATTCGTGAAATTGGCTAACTGTATAACTGCTGAAATTTTCTGTATCAGAAACAGCAGCATGGGGCAGCAGTCGGGGAGCCAGCTGTGAGTGTGTATAATCGCATAATTGCTAAGTTTATTCAGCAGTTACACATTTCCACAATTGCCCTCATTTTAACATCCCTAATTAGTATAGCCCACCTTAACCCCCTATTAGGGGTAGGGGAGAGGTGACTGCTAAGGTCCCAGCAATGCATTTGTTGGAGAGACTTGGATGGAAAAGTATGAGAGCCAGCAGAAATCTCCTGGGAATTGTAAGGTCCCCCAGCAACACCTCTGCTTGAGGGACATGGATGGAAAAGAGTCCGAAGAGCTGGTACAAGCAATCCCCCCCCCCACACACACACACCCCACCCCACCTAATTATGAAAAAACAGAGGGGGAAGCTGCACTTTATGTTTTATCTGACAGCTAGTCCCTGACATCTAATAATAAAGTTGTTGCCTGATTAAACCCATGTCAAATATCTCCTCTCCTTTCAGCATAGCCAGACAATTCATCCCTGATGCTCTGCAGCTTCATTTTTTGGTACGGATTTCAACAGAGTTACACCAATGATAAATTTGGCACAGTTTGTTGTCCAAGTCTCTGTGCAGCTCCAAAACTAGTCTGCCTCTTCCACCAAATGAAGTTGGTCCAATAAAATATATTATCTCATCCACATTGTGTCTCATATATCCTGGGACCAACATGGCTACATCATCATCAAACATTAATGTGAATAATCAGTTAGCTAAACTGAATCATTTGAGGACGAATGTTCTATAGCAGTTCTATTTTTATAGCAGATTTATAATACCCCTAATGAAAGTTCCACATTACCATCCCTACATCAGTGCTACATAGAGCTATAATTTCATTGAATTCAGGAAAGTGAAATAAAAATGGTACCGAAAAGGATATGAGTACTGAGGGGAAAAAATGTTTTCACTCAATCAGTGGTCTCTGTATGATCTGAGGGCAAACTATACAAATACAATCCACTTGGTCACCAAGAATGCAACATGCCTGAATACTGCACTTTAAATGTAAATAGGCAGGGAAAGATACAAGTAGTACAAAGAAGCTCAAGTATTAATCTTTCAGTAGGTTACTACCTTTTACCTGTTATTGAATTAGTGTTATATTTAATTGTATGCTTTGAGTTTTGTTATA